CCACCGGGCGAGCTGTCAGCGTTCCGGACACTCCTCGGTAACTCTGGTAAAACTCCATATTGATCTTCTTTGGAGTTTTTGCGTTAGACTGCTTACCTTGTGTTACGAGCTGTGTTAATGCTGAGTTGGTAATCAGGTGTCTCTTTTTTCCAGTTGAGCTGAATGTATGCTGGTATGGGAGCTTTTATTTCCTTAGCTGGGGAATATACCTTCTCCTCCATGTTAGATAACTAAACTAAGGGGACATAGGCAATCGACGGGACACGTTTTTCCACATGTAGGTGACTGCCATTTAGGAAGTGACGTCTATGGATACTGTAGCAGGCATATAGAAAACCATTCATCGATATGCAGTACGGCCAAGAAATAGGACAACTTTCATGAGGAAATTTGACTTGGTATTTTAGCATATATTTGGTCACATTATTTTGATCCACTGAATGAAGTTACTTCTGGGAAAGCCTTTTGGTGAGGAAAGTCGCCATTTTAGTTAGGTTTATTGTGCATAATGGGCATTAATTTTAGCGAAATGTGGAGTAGACTCATATCGAGGGAATTTCCTACGCTATTAGGTATGACAGACCCAACCTGTTTATTAATACGCATTGTGCTATGGAAGATTTCTGAAATAAGCAGGGGTAGTTTAAAACTGATCTATTTCGTTACCGGAAACTTGAGTCTGAATATTCTCAAATGTAAGTGAAGACAATTTTAAGAAATCATATCTATTTCGAGAAAAAGGAAACAATTTCGGTATTAAAAATTATTTTTTGCCAATCTGTGAGGTTTTTGGCACAAAATTAAGTGACAAAGCCTTGGGTTTGTTTTGTTTTATTATACGGCAAAGCTAGTCATGTTGTGTCCCGAAGAGTTAGGTAAAATTCAATCTTCATAAATCCAAAAATTAAATTATGAGTTCCGCTTAAGCGTAATTTAGACACGGAAGAGACGGAAGAATCATAAATTATATATATATATATATGGCCACCCTTCCTTGCATTCGCCAGCTTAGAGCAGAGACTTGATGTAATCCACTAGTGCGGAAAATAACTAAATACAAAGAAGAAAGTGATTGCCTTCATTTCCAGTCAGTTGTCATTATTTGTCTTCAGGTTAAGTAAAAAAAGTTGTCAAAAATCCCCCTGTAAAAGGTAATATACTCGAAATTTCGTCAGCTTAATATCTATCTGAAGTACGTTTCGCGAGGTAAGCAAGTACAGAAGATTTTTTAATCCCAGAAATAATAATATCGCACATTTTTTGCGGACAGTGTTTTTGCATAATAATGCATTTTGCTGTTTGGAGCAACTTCTAAATATAGCCTACATGGTCATTGTCATCTTCGGTAAATCCATTTAATCGATATCTTCTTTTAAAAGTTTTGGTATACAGCTCGTAATAAATCCTGGTTTATGCACTAAAGCTTGAAGATACTAAAAACGCTGGGAAATGCACCGGCACTTAAACATGTATTTGTAAGTACTTGTAGTTAAATGGCAAGAATATGTTTAAAATGTTATGACGTAAGAAAATTTATTTTGATATATAGTAAATGGTATCACTAACCTTGAAAATGGCGATAACATTTCGATTTAATGTTCTAATTTATAACGATTTTACGTCTTTGGAACTTGGAAATTATCGAGAAAATATGGTTTATCTTAGGAAAAAATGCGTACTTCTTATATTTCTTCTCAGTACATAATTTGCTTAAGGCTTTTTATTATTTCTTCTAAATTTTCATACATGTGTAAATGCCGGTTTGTGAGTGCGTTTCAATATTTTTTAATTGGGCATGTTGCACGAATTCTGCGCTGTACTGCATAAGTAAGTATTTTCCATTTCCTCAGATATAATGAACTGCATTTGAATAGAGTCCACAATAACCTTTAAGTTCAACTTAAATGTATAAGCTTAAGTGTAACTACCTCGCAATTCAGCAGAAAGTTTTGGCAGACCAACCTGCTACATAAACTTTACTTGGGTCAGCAAAACCGCATTATAGCCTAGTTATAGCGTTTGCC